TTAAAAAATAAATAATTTGACTACTAAGATAATATCGCATATATTTATCATGTAAAAAATTATTTTTTGCATTCTATTTTTTATTGAATACCCCGCTCAATAATCTTTCAGTTAAGTCTTATTTATTAAATTATATATTTTATTGATAAAGATGCAAATTTATTATTTTCTTATATAAAATCCTGTCTATCTTTTTACAATTTATAGATTGCTTTGCGCTAACAAAGTTTGCACATTTTTTTTTATCGTATAAAGAATATTGTTGAGCAATAACAGTTGAGAATGGCTGATTCAAACTTTTTGGTTGTTACTTTCATACATCTTCAGATGTATGATATTTAGAAATTCTATCAATTTGAATAACAAATTGCAATGCAAAGAATATATTAAAATATCAAACTAAAAAAGAATTGTAATATAATAGATTTACAGGACGATATTAATGTATGGTACGGAATGTTAGAAAATTCATATAGTAAATTTTGTATAATGATTAGCCGATCTCGCATTTCAGTCTGAATTGAGTAGCCTGCCCGCTTCCTGATCAAGCAGCCAGAAAAGAGTGCCATCAGCTGGTTCCACTCTGGTAGCTGGTAAATCTTCCTTATCTTTCAAGATTTTCTGAGAACATTTATTATTTTTATATTAAATGCAATCTAATTGATTAATTATTTAATTATACATAATGGACCATTTTAATTTTTTAATTTTTATATTGCAAGCTATAAATTTAAAATTAATGGAATAATAAATTAATAGATGTTCAGTAATTACCTTGACAATTTCAGCCTTACTACTACCAGTGGCAATAAATACGCACATACGAGCGTTATTAATAACCGGCATGGTGAAACTGATTCTACTGGGCGGTGGTTTTGGTGCATTCAATTCCCATGTGACCCACATATTTTCGTCGTCGAGAGCCCGATGACCTGGGAAAAGCGAGCATGTGTGTCCATCCTGGCCAACCCCCAGCAGCAAACAATCGAACCTGGGTAATCTGTCCGGCGGGAAGAAGAAGGCCATTTTTTTAATGTAATCCTTCGCCGCGTTCTCGGCTATAATACATATCAATAAATAAATGAATAAATGGTAAACAAATAATACAATGATAAATTATAAAAAAATCATAGACATATGTATAATAACAAAATATAAAAAATTATGTTATATGTATGTATAGGATAGTGTGTAAGTACATGTGTAACTAATCTATAAATTATCATTTATAATAATTAAAAAAAGAAAATTTAACTTTAACATTTATGTCACATCCCTCTACATATAATCAAAACAAAATTATAAAAAATTATACTTATATAATTAATTAAATATTTATTACAAATATTCAATTGACATTTGCTTCAAAATTATACAACTCTTATATTACTCTTATATTAAAAATAGAAATAGATAACCAATCACGTACCATTAAGTTCGGGATCGACCTTTATGAATTGCTCCTCAGTTACGGGAACTTTACCAATGAAACTACTTTTATAAAGACCGAAAGTAGAATCAGGATCTTCCAGAGGCACTACTCGCTCATCACAGAAGAAAAAGCGCCACTTGCTCCAATCGGTTGCAATATTAGGCAAAGACTTGGCTAATAATTGTACTATTGAACCGCCTGAAAAACAAGTCAATAATTAATTAAAATACTTCTGTCAATCTTCTTTTAAATTATCTGATATATATGATACTTATATTTGTGAAACATTTACTGTAAACATTTTAATTTATAAATTAGATATTGCAATCTACGAATTTGTCGCATAAATTATGTTCTTTGAAATATTTTACGAAAAATTATATGGATTATTATATGGATGAATATTTTTAAAACACCGGTTATACGAAACCCTAACCTATATACTTCGGCAAAAATTCCTCCATCAATATTTAAGTAGTCATCAATTACTAAAAAAATGACTTTCTTTCATGTAATATGTCATAATAAATTTCAGCATATTATTATTTTTAGGTAAATTAATTCATATTACGCAGCAAGCGTAAACAAATGAGCAATCTCATCGGATCAGTAATCATACTATCTGTATTTTATTTTTTATTACATTTTCTGTCAGTTAAAATTTTAGATAAGTATAAGTATATTTTTAGATATAAGTGTATTGAATTAAGATTAAATGCACGAAAATAACATTTATATTTCTCAGTAAACAATTCTTAAATATTTCCAAATAATTCCTCAGGAATCCTTAAATATTATAATGGATTTGATTATATTTTACGATAAAGCTTATAATTATATGATATAGTTTAAATAATTATGTAAATACATATATATGTAAAAACAAAAATGACAAAGCTAATACTCCTATTATGAAATCATGCTGATTTCATACTGACAATGAGTGCAGAAAGTGTGGTACTTAAAAAAAAAAACAAGATTAAGAAATTGCAAAATCAATTTGTGAAAGTATAATACTTCACGCGAAAAATATGCGAAAGACAATTTTATGAAAATTACCGTGTCTTATTTGTAAATAAGATTTATATTTGCGCATATTAGCTTAGAACTTTAATCCTTAAAAAAACTTAAAAAATACTAATTATTTTTGCATGACAGTAACACAAACAATCTGATACTTACAAAAATTACATAATATGTAAGAATTATAAAGAAAATATCATAACTAAAATGTCTCATTAAATGAAAAAGAAGAAAACAACTGTAACAATGTTTTGAAATCACCTGATATTCCGAATCGAAAAATTCGATCATCACGTGAAATTGCGTCATCGGCGGCACGGGCAACGAGGTTGGAGATCCGGGAAAGCAATTGTTCCTCGTCGCTGACCACCACTATCTCCGTCATTTTCTTCTGCAAACGACCGAGAGCAAGGTTATTCTGTACATGCACTTCTAAATGCGATGATTATCGAAATGCGAATGCGCTCTGCCACCAGTTTACGTATGCAAAGACTACGTTCCTCCCTACGGTCAGCACTTACACTTCTGTTTTTTCTACACTTTTTATTTTTAGCTAAGCATAAATCAGCGAGTAAATATATATAAAAGCATGTAAAAATATGTTATGTAAATATCAATGTTAATTTGTTTAACTATTCTATTATCTATTTATTTTAATTCTATCTCTTATTTATCCAGCAAGGTCCGCCAAAAAAAAGAACACATTTATAAAGGGAAATTCATACTGCGTTCAAGTGTGTTTAAATGCTATTTAAGATGCCAATGTCCAATAAAAATCGTACTTTCTGAAGACTTTATTTAACCTCCTATTTTTCCCTAGGAAACAAACTATTTTATTATTACATCCTGTACGGCGAATGACGATGCTGTGTGAACTTGCATAATATTCTACACACACCATACACACATACACCATCCATCGCTAGATAGGCTGGGAGGGGCCCAAAAAACCGGGCCCAAATGATAACATTGCTTCCAATATTTCATTAGTTCTGTGTAAAATTAATGTCTGGTGTTTCTTATAGTGCGTGAAATATTTCGAATAATTTTTATTTTATGAATTGTTTTATTTAAAAAATACGTATTTTTTATTGGAAGACTTCATTAATCGGATCTTCGTGTTTTACATGATCGAACTGTCATTATCATCTTACAGGTTTGATTTCAATATATTTAGCTTTCATTACTTTATATAAAATATTTAATTTTATCTTATCTTGAATGAATCTTAAATAAATTATAAATTCATAAGAGCAATTTGTAATCTTTTATCGTGTTTAAATCCATTTTATACTTTTTTAAAATATAACCTATAAATAGATGAAAAAATAGAGATAGAATTTGGATGTGAAAGTTTTCCATTTAATGTAATAAAGTATATTACTTACATATTTACAGATTTTTTATATATAATTTTTTATAATTTTGCAGGATGATGTAAATGCATTCGCAGCATTTAATAAATCATCATGGCTGTTCATGTTAAATCAGGACAAATCTATTTATTACCATCAATCAGACTATCTAGATAACCCAAAATCTGTTTAAATCAGACAAAACACAGAAATAATGTCTTTCAGAATACGTTTAGCCTGCAGCAGGCCAATTAGATTTTTGGGGAGTATTGCCATGAAGTGTTGGGCCTTTAGCGGAGTGTATATCCTTGCTTGCTTTTTCTTATATTGGTTATATGGTGGAATTTTAGCTTTCTTCTTGCTGTGCTTTGCCACTACTGGTTTGTATTTATCTTTTTGCTAGACTTTATTTTCTAATAAGACTATCGTTATTATTTTTGTTATTGTTTTATTGAGAAACAAAATTGAATTATGTTTCTGTCACAAATATTAGAAATAAATCTAATATTTTTTGCTGAATTTAAATGTCTTAAAAATTTTTTATTATATAAGATTTTCAAGCGATACACTTAAAGTACCAGCTTAAAAATGTTTCCAAGAATCTTACTTTTATATTGATAGTATTTTATTGTTACAGGAATACTTTATCATAGGGAAGATCAGCTTCTTTATCATCCAGAATTGCCAGCTCACTCCAGAGTTTACGTACCTGCTCCTTCAATATTTAGTTTGCCCTATCAAAGTGTATATACTAGAGCCAGGGATGGTACAATGTTGCATATGTTTTTCGTTTCCCAACCGGAAGACACAATGAGAAAGGCACCTACATTATTGTTTCTTCACGGGAATGCTGGCAACATGGGCCATCGGTATTCAGCATTATATTATTATTTACTATTTTCTTATAGTATTTATAATTATTTATTACTTATTTTTAATGCTTTTTTTTTATTTTTAGATTGCAGAATATAGCAGGGTTGTATCATAATGTTCAGTGCAACATTCTAATGTTAGAATATCGTGGATATGGCCTATCACAGGGTTCCCCATCAGAGGAAGGGCTTTACATGGATGCCAGAGCAGGAATAGACTATTTAACTAGTAGGACAGACATTAATACTGATAAAATCATAATATTTGGCAGATCATTAGGTAAAAGAAACAATTTTATTTAAAATTATTCATTATTTAAATCTTAATAATTATAAGAAAATAGAAAATAATTTAAAATGTCTTGTTAAGTTTTATTAAAGGATTTTTATTTACATAAATCAAAATACATTATATTTTTTATAGGTGGAGCAGTAGCAATTGATTTAGCCACGAAGGAGGAAAACTCGCAAAGAATTTGGTGCCTTATACTCGAAAATACCTTCACCAGTATTCCAGATATGGCCGCCTTATTCGTTGGATCTAGGTTTCTACAATATCTACCACTCTTTGTATATAAGAATAAGGTAGACAATGATAAAAAATTTTTTATTTTTTCTTTATCATTTTATGCAATTATTTAGCTTTATAAAAAGAATATCAAAGTTAACAAGATATTAAGATAGTCATTTTTATAATAATATTAATCTTATTTGTAATTATTGTTATATTTTTCTATCATCACTTACGAGTTATACATTCTTATGTTTGTATATTTTTATCTGGTTACAGTATTTATCCAACTTAAAAGTTCGCTCCGTCACAGTGCCCACTCTATTTATTTCCGGCTTAGCCGATACACTGGTACCACCTCGCATGATGCAGGATCTGTACAAGAATTGCCGAAGTACATGCAAGCGCATACTTCCAGTCACAGGTGGTACGCATAATGAGACCTGGTGTCAGCCGGGTTACTATCAGAGTATTTGTTCTTTTCTGACCGAGCTCAAAGAAAATCCTCCTCCAAGAGTGGTGTCTAGTCAATGGCAGATTGATGATATTTAACGATAAAACATATAATATCGCGGTTATTGACTTAAGTCCTTTTTAGATTATTAATGTGAAAAAAATCGACTTTTTTAAGTTGGAATATCATTGAGACTATTTCTGCATATTATAGACATGAAAAAAATCAATTTCACAGTTCGAATACGGAAATTAATAATTATTCTTGCATCAATCAAATTGCATTTTACTTAAATTTAATCAAATGATTTAATTTATTGTATGAATAATTATATTTATTATTCAAACAATGAAATTTTTAATTTTTTACGAATAATTAAATTAATTATTAAACATATTAATAAGTAAATGGAAATGGACTTTTTTTAAGTCAGAATATCATTGAGGCTACTTCCACATATTATAGACATGAAAAAAATCAATTCTACAGTTCAAATACAGAAATTAATTCTATACAGAAATTATTCTGTATAGAATTATTAATTTCTGTATTTGAAACAAAACTTTATAAAAAAGAATATAATAAAATTTATTGACAGGGATTCTGTAAATGTCTGAATTAAGAATAGTAAAAAATATTGTAAAAATCTTTGAAAGTACCATTTTAAAATATGTGAAAACAAATCTATTATTAAATGCATATTAAATCGAGTTGCATTTCGTGACTTTATCAAAGTGTGTAACTAAAAACTCTTGATATGTTTTTATATAAATGACTATTATATATTCCTGCAGACATTGTGGTTCCTGTTACAATGAGTATTTTACATAATAATAAAATATTAAGAGAAGATTAAATTTAGACAGCTTTATGTAAGAATTTGTGCAAGAATGTTTGTGCATATAAGTTGTGTTAAGTTAAGGAAATAATAAATATCTTTTATATTTTTTCCCAATGACAGTCTTCGTGTTTTTATAAGAATAAATAAACTGTGTGACAAGCTTGAACGATTGTATTGTACAATAACAAAAAGTAATTTTTTGACTTGTTTCTATTTAAAAGCTATTAACAATGTAAAACCAAATGGTATCTTTTATTTTTTTCACAAGTGCATTAAAATCTGCGTTTAATCTTTATTTCGACACACAAGAATTGAAATATTTTACAAAATAATATTCTGTTTCTTGCGTTTTAAAGTTTAATTTCGATAGATAGATTATCATCACAATTTTTGCATTATTTTATCGAATCGTCTTCTTGGCGCGGAAAAAATTTTGCACGATTTATTTACTTCAATAAGAAGACTGTGATTTAAATTCAATTATTATAATAATAATAAAAATATTGATTATTATATTGCCGATCGGATAAATAAGAGCATCAACTGCCAGTAATAAATTTTATATTACCAACATGGTTGAACAAATATGTGGATTACAGCAGGTTACATGGCATTCCGCGTGGTGCGTTGTTAACTGCTATGCTGTCAACCAAATACAGACGCTTGGATATCAATGTGTTAAATAAGATAAGAATTTTGTTACGATTATAAATATATAAAATATTTTGCCAAAAAAATATATAAAGTGTTTTTCGATGTAAGTTAAAAATATTATTTTTTTATTTTTATTGGATATTTTTACCAGATGAAAACAATGACTTATAACCTATAAAACCTGACCACGTTATAAAAGATGATATACAAGATACAAATTTTTATAAATTTAGCAATTATAAATAATTAAACATTATTTATTAGAAAAATCAATTATTTTTAATAAATAAATAATATTTTCTAGTAATAAGAGATTGTGTTGTTTAACTTGGAAATATGAATACAAATGTATGTGTCAAAATTTCATAATTATAAAAAAATTCGGTGAACATAACATATGCCTTATCTACCAGTATGCATGCTGGCCTTTTATAGTAAAAGATTTGTGTGATGCTATATTACAGAGTCCCCTCTTTTATATTTTAACCCCTTTGAAAAGGGTATAGTCACCCCTTTCCCCATAAAAAAGGGGTAGTTTCTAAAAAAGGGGTAGCTGCTAAAAAGGGGTGTTGCAGCAGCAAAAGTATTGACTGTGCTTTTTGAATAAGTTGTGACATATATATATTAAAATTTTCATCTTATTTCCACTGAAATGTTAGGAACATAATACACAGCTATTTTTAAGATCATCAATTAAAACTTGTCAATTAAACTTGTTAATAACTTATAAATAACATAAGTAAGCTAAAGAGTGATGTAATGTATCAATCTTTGATGCTTAGGTACTAGACTGGTCAATTTTTTTTCTTGTTTTTAGTCAAAATTGATAGGGTATAAGGAACGGACCATAGAATCTAGACAGCTCTGAGCATGCTCTCTGCTTCGGAGACTGCCGCTGTCCCTTTCCAACGTATCTGACGGAGGATAAACTCCTGGGGGTTGGCCTGGAAGCTGTTTCTGATTGGACAGAATCATATTGGAGCTACCCCACAGACTACTTCGCATCGAAAGGGTCGCTCAGTTTACTACAGGGTATCACTGAGTTTGCTTCGCAGCGTGCTTTTTATCAAACAGTTGTTAAGGTGTGAGCATTATCTGAAACAGTGGTGACTTTAAAAGTGCATAGCATTCTAAATGTACATGCTATACTGTAAAACATAATCTGTATTCTATAGAATCACTAGTTCTATTTTGTTCTTTTATATGTTTATATGTAAATTTATATTTTTATAAGTTATTTTTGGTTGTCTAAAACCAGGTCATAAAATATTCTAAAGTTTATTATTGGATAAGTCTTTACTTATACATACAGAAATAAACATTTAACTAAATATGTAAATATATTTACATTTCTCAGCAAATATTTCTACTGTATTATTGAACATTTTTAGATATTTTAACAAACATCAATTCTAGTCACTACATTATATAAATAATTGTTTAAGTTCAGATTTTGAAATTATTAATCATTTTCTATTTAAGTACTATTTGAACAGACATATATCAATGACTAGAAAAGATTTTTATCCCTCCCTATTTTTCCCTATCTTTCCCCAACTCTTCACCCTTTTTCATCCTTTGAGTGAGCAAAAATGTCTACTCCTTTCATCCCCAAAATCAACCCACAAAAAAGTACACTGAAACTTTAATACTACTTGCGAACAAACATGTTAAACAGATTATTTTAAAAGAAATTCTTTTATGAAGAAGTTCTTTTATATAAATAATTGTGTACAAAAAGTATTAAATATTCTTATATTCTTTTCTGTTTCTGTGGGGTTGAGAAATGGGTGGAGCTAAATTTCCTACTACCTTTTATACAAGACTCAGAAAAAAGGGTAGTCAGTTTTATAGTAGAGCTCAAGGATGAAAGAACGTCTAATAGGACTGTTTTATTAATAATATAACTAGAGATTTTTTGGTATTTGTAGCATTTTTAGTTGATTTGTAACATGAGTGTGATTTTATTATGTTTTAGTTAGTGCAAAATCATATACTTTAATAAATTATGTGCTCCACTTTGTGAACATAAATGTTATGTGCCTTTTCTAAAGGATATATCTCACAATCAGAAGGTTAGTTAATTTATTTTTACTTCTTAAAAATATATGTTTTAATAGATGAAATCACAAATACTACATGAATGTATTAACTATGGCAAAACATATGCTCAAATTCTTATTTTAAGACACAATGACGTGAACTATATATATTTGATTAATGGTAGTTATGTTAAACTATTTCATTGTTATCCAAAATTTTTGTATAAATTATATAATCAAAATAATATTTAAATTTTTGTTCTTATTTTTGTAAGATAACTACACGTCCAATGTAGTTTATTTAAGATTCAGCAATTTTTATAAAGAAATGTTTATTTGTTTCTCTTTTATGAAATTTTATTATGCAGTTATGTCATATCATTCATATGAAAAGTTGTAGTTAGTATATTTAGATTCAATACACTAATAATACAATACACAATAAATTTCAAAGTATTTACACAAATACGTGCGCAACATACAATTAAGATGCAATTTTTGAAATCAAAACATATAAATTATATTTTCCTAATAAAAATAAATATATATCTTTTGCACTATCGTATAATTGTTAAAAAAAAAATTGATTTTTGAAATATTTATCATGTGAGGAAAGTGGCTCGAATAATATACGTATGATGGCGCCAAAATGGTTTTCCTAGAATCATTTCTTTTCACTCAGCAGATTATTTTGCTCAGCAGATGTGATGCACATTTATCTTTTAGTAGCTATAGTACTTCATAATTACAACAGATGACACAGCTATTAATTTTATGATTTTCTACAAAATAATTTTATACTTTCATTGTAACAATTATGATAAAATCAATATATTACATTATATTAATATTAACAATTAATTATTTTACAATATTTTATAATATTCTGTATGTTTAATTTATATTTATATATACTTTCATAAGTAATATAAATCTCTGCAATTTTAATATTCTTTTCACGTAAAAAATAAATTTTTATTAAATTAATAGTAATATAACAATATAATATAATGTAAATAATATAACACAGTATCTCTCAGAAATTAATTACTATTCATAATTATACGTAACTTCATAATTATACGTAAATTGTTATTTATATTACATTTAATTCATACTGAAATATAATGATGCAAGAATAAATTGAAGTATATATAACTAATTATAAATCTTATCTAAATATTTTATTATTTTATTGACATTAAAGATTGTCTCTTTCCTAAATTTTACTACTCGTACTCAAACGTTTTTCCCAAAACATAAAGCTTTTTTACCTCTCTTAGATTTATCTTGAGGGTACAAAGATCTGAATACGGAGAATCTCTTTCCGTTCTACGCTTCTGTCGTTTCCCTTCTTCCAAATCTAATACATGTTCAGCAAAAGCGTGTTTGCATTTCTCTCCCTTGGGATGCTTACGGAACAGCGCACAATTTCAGAAAGCCGATTTCAATTTCGTTTTCCTTTTTACAGGGAGAAACGAAAGCTCGAGTGCAGGCCGTGCGGGATTACGGAAATCGCGCAGACAGGCCTGTGAACACGTGCGAAAATCTCGTGTCTCGACGTTTGCGCCCTCGACATCGATCGTTCTTCCGTTTAACGCTTCTCGTCGGAAAAATCTCATTTCGCCGTTCCTTTCTTCATTGCTTCGGTAAGTAACGCTCTACTTGCAAGAAAAATGCATTTTGTTAAGATATTCGTGGCAAAATTTTGTTGGAGAATAAGTCTGTCAATAATTTGAATAAGTT